CCCAGCCCTAGAGGGGAAAATGTGGAGGTGGAGACAGGGGTGGAGTGTATTCAGTCTGTAGTCAGGATCGCCCCTTTCCGTCTGAGCCTTGGTAGGGCTGAGAACTCTCTAGTGGCTGCCGCTTTGCTTCAGGTAAGCTTTATTGGTTGGATCATAGACAAAATATCACCACGCATGACCTTCAGCACACAGATGGACCTCTGTGGGGTCATGTAAGACCCAAAGTGTATATGATTGCGATGGCAGCGCAGATGAAGAAGAGATGGCGTCACAGAAATGGTCATGGGCTCTGAGATGGAATAGACATGGTTTTCCCATTGCTTCTGGGTGAGGGGGGTCTGGCTCTACAGGTCAGGTCTCAGTCACAGGACCATGCCTGCCCTCTCTGCCTTCCATCTAGTCAACGGAGCATTCCCCTGCAGACAGCACTTGGCCCTCTCCTCGGGGAGGACCCTTTTCATCTTGAAATCATCTTGTACCTGTGTCCTGATGCTGCTCAGTGAAGGAGCCCGAGCCCGGGCTGACAAGCTTATTCCTTTCTTGTCTAAGAAGCCATGGTCTAATGCAGAGTTCCCCCAGAATCTGCAGGGGGAGGCTTCTCCCAGCCTTCAGGTCCCCAGGTCTCCGCTTAGGGCTCTCTTCCTCCAAGTGATTGCCTATTGCTTTGTGTGGGTCTCTCTGACAGAGTATGTGGGTGTTGTGAACTTGGCTCCATTAAGAGTGTCAACTGGCTTTGCTAAGTGGTCGTTGGGGATGAAACCAAGTTAGGGAAGGGGTGGGTTTAGTTGGATTCTTTCTGTTCTGCCCGTCAGTTCCCCCAGCAGCTTATGAAATAAAACTCTGAGGCTCAGTACCAATTGCAATTGTTTGGCCAATGGCTCAGACATATTACTGACTAGCTCTCTCTTATAAATAAATTAACCCATTTCTATTAATCTGCATATTGCCACGAGGTTGTGGCTTATTGGCAATGCTCCGGTACCTTGCCACTTCTGCGGCTACATAATATGGTGTCCCTGATTCTGACTTTTTTTTTTTTTTTTTTGGCTTTTCGAGACAGAGTTTCTCTGTGTAGCTTGGGAGTCTGTCCTGGAACTTACTGTAGACCAGGCTGGTCTCAAACTCATAGAGACTCACCTGCTTCTGCTGAGATTAAAGCCATGCACCACCACTGCCCAGCCCATAACTTTCTCTCCACAACTAGCTATATTCTGCCTGGATATTGATCAAAGCAGCTTTATTCATCAACCAATAAAAGCAATACAACCATGGCGTTCTGGAGGACATCCTACATCAGGTGAATGGAGGGATGATGACATGGTGGTCAGGTGACTTGATAGGAAGGCTGTGGGATGCTGAGGCTGTGGGAGCCATGCATGTGAGCTGGGACCCCAAGACAAATGGCGTGACAGCCATGTTTGCTTTGTATGTGTACTGGGGATTTGAACTCTGGTCCTCATTCTTAGGTAACAAGTGCTGTTACCTGTTAAGCCATCTACCCAGCCCCTATTATATTTATTTACATATTCATTCATTCAGTCAGTGTGTGCATCTGCGTCTGCGCATGTGCAGGGGTGTGCATGTGTGGGCATACATGTGTGGACATCAGAAGTGTCATTCCTCAGAAAAAGCCGCCACTCCAAATCCCTCCCCACAGCTTTCTGTGTGTCTGTCTCTCCCAGATACCCTCTGATGACTTCCTGTCAACTAGTTGCTCACTCAGCCTCCTGAACCAAGGTTAATTTTATTTAATTAAATCAAATGCAAACTCAGGGTTCACAATGTGATCAAACATCCACCAACAGGGTCTCTCACTGAACCTGTGGCTCACTGATGTAAATACCAGGATCTTCTTCTCTCTGGGGTTACAAGCATGTGACAACCCCACACTCCAGTACCTTTATTTATTTATTTATTTTTTTAAGATTTATTTATTATGTATACAGAGTTCTGACTGCATGTGTGCCTGCATGCCAGAAGAGGGCACCAGATCTCATTATAGTTGGCTGTGAGCCACCATGTGGTTTGAACTCAGGACCTCTGTTCTTAACCTCTGAGCCATCTCTCCAGCCCTCCAGTAACTTTTTTAGAATGATGCTAGGGATTGAACTCAGGTCCTCATGTTTGCAAAGCAAACACTTCATTAATTACTGCATTATTGCCCAGTCTCTGAGCCTCTTGTTTCTATAAGTGAACACCTTGTGACATTCTAACTAATGACACCTGTAAATACCCAAGTTCCAAACAGGGTTGTACTCTGTGGCAACAAAGGCTTCAGTGTATGAGTCTGGAGGTACAGGTAAGAGGCTCCTTATCAATGGTAGCCCTTCCAGACTGGGTGGTAGGAAGCTTGGGATGGGCCCTGTGGACAAGGAGCCTGTTGATGAAACGCAGCACCCTCTATGAAAAGGACACAACCCAAATCGTATCATGAGAGCAATTACAGAAGAAAAGCCCCTGGAGAATATGCACCCTTTAATTCCCAGAGCCTGTGAGAACATGCCCATAGAGCCTTTGCATGCGGTATTAGAGGTGCTAGGCCCTGGAGGCCGATTCTCTTGAGTCATCTGATGATTTCGAGAGGCCCGGAAATCAGAAAACTGTCCCCAGCTGAGCCTAAGATGTCACAAAAGAGACTTGTTTGTCTCTCCCTTTGCTGCTAACTTCGAAGATTGTGGTAGGACCATGTGCTAGGAAAGCTGGTAATTAACTACCTTTAGCTTTCAGCCAACAAGAAAATGGGCCCCAAGCCCTAAGGAGCTCTGCCAACAGCAGAGCAGGAAGCAGACTCTCCCCTGAGCTTGAGGGAATGAACCACACCAACATCTTGGTTTTAGTTCAGTGACCCTGATCTGGTTTCCGATTTCCAGAACCTTGGTCAACCTTGTAACCAGTTGCTGAAATTGTGTATGTGTGTTCATATTCACATATGTGGGCACACTTGTGTGAAGGTGTGTGCATGCATGCCGGTGGTTAATATTAGCTGTCTTCCTTCTCTTTGCATTTTAGTGAGTCACAGCCTTACTTGAACCCAGAGGTTGCTGGTTTGGCTATTCTAACTAGCTATCTTGTTCTGGGGAATCTCCTGTCTCTACCGACAGAGGGTTGGGCTTGCAGGCAGAGCCCAGGGATCCAAACCCTGGTCCTACACCACTGCAGCAACCGCTTTACTCAGAGCCGGTCTTCCCAGCCCCCCCCCCCCCCAGTTACTGAATCTGCAACTGTTTGCTACAGCAACAATGAAAACCTGATGTGATGTTGGGAGACAGCAGACAAACAAAATGGAGAGCCCACAGGGTTCGTTATCAGGTGCACAAAGAGAACTCAAAATTCCAAAGAACAAATTGCTAAAAAGGGGGGAGAAAAGCATGCATTTCACCAAAGAACAATGCATAGATGGCAAAATTATATGAATAGATGATTAACCTCGTTCATGATTAGAAAGAAGAAATTCAAAGCACGAGACTGCGCTTGATTCATCACATTGGCCGAAGTGATGGTAACAAACGTTGGGGACGATCTAGAGCAGGGGGCCATATCCTACAGCCCACAGGCCAAACTGAGCAAGCTCTTGTTTTTATAAATAAAGTTTTATTGGAATATCCACCTTCCACCTGCTTGTTTATATGTTGCTCATGGCAGTGTTTAAGCTACAATGGAGAACAGACTGTAATTCTGAGAGGCAAAAGAGTCTCCTGAGGAGGCCGTTCCCAAGGCAGTCCATTTCAGTGTTGAACTTACTGTAGCGCTGGGATCAAACCTTGGACGGAGAGCATGCAAGGCAGTGCTCTGCTTCTGGGCTACCAAGGAAGAGAGGCGGTGCTCACCCAATTCCTAACAGAAGTCTGGCCGCTTTTGATGTCATTCAGGGGACTTCTAGTGATCTTGAGTCAGGTCGGAGGGATGCCTGCACTTAAATCTGCTGTTCTGCTCTGAACAGCCACACATCAAGGGGATGAGTACCACCATCTTAGTTCACTTGCAAACAACGAAAACAGACACTTATTTGTAGTCAATTACTCTTTACCATGGTTTTTCCTGTTTATCTTCTCCCATCTGAGGGTCCCAGCTCTGCACCCAGAGGCTGCTCTGCCTGATGCTTGAAGAATTCGCTCCTGGTCTAAGACGCACGATCTTGCAAGAGCCTCAGTCTTGTTTGCTAGGACGGCCTCTCGAAGCAGCTTGTGGTTCCTTCTCGCATGCACAACTCTAGCCGCTTGGAATTATTGTGGGGTCTTTCTCAGACCACAGGCATTCATTCACCACAGACACTGCCAGGTGCCAGCAATCCACTGATGTGTTGGACCTTCAGTTACCCCAGGAAGAGTTATCAAGTCCAGAAGACAACATATTAAGGGAGTAGACTATTTCTTCCTGCTGCTTTGGGTACCAAGCAGACTCCTCCTACAAGCTGTTCGACTTTGGCGCAGTCTCTGAACCGCTCGGTGTCCCGGAGATTCCTTTGTAAAACATATATATGCTAATTTCGTTCCAGTAAGTTGGCTTTCCGTCTAGACAGTTAACGGTTTCCACCGATCGCGACGCAGAAACCCTTCCTGTGGGCTCAGACCTGAAAACAAACCCTTCAAGATCCCACTCCTCACCCGAAGGCTAGTGCTTCCATTTCTCTCCTGCTCCCCCAGCTAGAGGCGGCGCCGGGAAAGCCGCACGTCCGCCCCCAGCGGCCCCAGACTCCAGGGAACGAAGGAGCAAAAGTTCACAAACTGAGCGTGGAACCCGGAACACAGACGTGTGGGCCCCGCCTTAGGGCGGGGATACCACCCAAGCCACGCCTCCTCGAACAGGCACATCCGCCTTCTTGTTGGCTCGCCCCGCCCCCGACGCCGTCACTTCCTGGCAGCGTAGGCTTGAGAAGGCGGAAGTTTGTGTGCCCGGAGGCAGCGGAGCGGAGCTGAGGTGTCGCTAGCGTTGCCTGCGGGCTGGCTCTTCCGGGTCTCTCTGCTCCACTCGCGCGAGGTGGAGGCGGGAACCTGCAACCATGGCAGGGAGGCAGCTGCGCAGCCCGGCAGGCTCTGGAGGCTGACCTCCGCGACGCCTGTCCGCGCGCCGGCCCCTTGCTCCGGGCTTCGGGTTAGCGGGGGAGGGGGGGGCAGTCGCGCTGTCCCGGCCCCCAGACCCTCAAGATGACCGCAGCCTCCACCTCCAAATGGGGGCTGGTCACGAACGTCGTAAACAGCATCGTGGGGGTCAGCGTACTCACCATGCCTTTCTGCTTCAAGCAGGTGAGTCGGGTTCGCGGGGGCCGCCGGTTTGGCGTGTCCGGCTGGGGACGGGTTGTGTGAGCCCCAGCGGGCAGGGACGAGGCCCCCCAGGCAGCGTGCGGTCGCCTGGATCTGCGCGCTCCGAGCCGTTCACGGCACCCCGCGGAAGGCGCAGTGAAAGAGACGTTTGCGGGTTGATAGTATTTTTGTTCATCCCGCTGTTGCTGGCTCTCTGACGGACGGCAGGCACGGAAGCACACGCCGGTCCTCAGCTGCGGCGTGCAGCGGGGCTTAATCAAGGTGGTTTAAAGCGTTCTCTGGGTTTTACTTCTGGCAGTCGTGTTGCACAAACACCGTTACGTTGGTTTGGTCCGACCTGTGTGCATAATGATACCACCCCAGTGGGAAGATCAGGCACGCACAGAAAAAGTTTGGTGTTATTCCGACGTTGAGAAGATGCCCACCGGGAAAGACGTGAAAGGGTGGCCGTTTCTGACGTGGCTCTGTTGGGTGTAGCGATCGATGATTTGCGGGAGCATCGAGTTGGGTAATGACTGTCAGCAAAGGAAGTGATGGCGCTCCCTGTCCCTTCTCCACTCACTCACTCAACTCAAGCCACGTTTGCTGCTGTCCTCTGCTGTTGACACGGTGGGACCTGAATCTGTAATAGACGTTTTGGAAGTCAAAGTGGGTTGTTGATAATTTAATAGTGGATTAAAAGCCACCTTGCATGTTTTATACTCCACAGCTGCAAGGTAAAATAAAGTAGGGGGGAAAAAGTTTTGGTTTTTTTTTTTTTTTTTTTTTTTTTTGATCAGGGAATTTCTGTTCCTCTACATACTATCCTGATTGAGAACGCATCTGGGTCCCTCTGTGGGGCCGATATGGTTGATGAATTCAGGCAGGAGGACAGAGCCAGACCCTCCAGGTAAATCCCAGTGTTGAGTCAGTCACTTCTGGGTGTTTCTGGCGGCGGGCCGTCTACGTGTCCCAGTGTCCATGGCAACTTGTCTGTCAGCAGAACTGCATCTTGGGATAGGGAGTGTTGGCTGGCTTCAAATCTCCGAGTGAACCGTGGCATCTTTGCTGCCCGTCTGTCAAGTGTGACCCTTTGCTGGGCTCTGTTATAGATGCCTGGGAAGATGGGTGTCTGGGCTCAGGTGATTGAGATCAGAACATTGCTGTGCATGGGTGCCAGGCCTCTGCTAGAGCGTATGAAGATGAGCCAGGTGGAGATCTACTTGGCAGGAGCCCAGTGTGCAAGCCAAACTAGAAACAGTCACACCATGTGCCTAAAACCCGTCAGTTTCCTCGGTAGAGTACTGGGGGATGTGTGTAACGTTTAGCAGGCACACCACTGAAAAACTTTGGGTGCAGTGCTAGCTTGTTCAGTGATTCTGGCAATTTAAAAAGAGAAACGTCTTATTGTAACTCAGTGCGTAGAAAACTTCGTACGCTTTAAGTGTACGAATTTTCATGAAGTGAAACACCATACAGTACCTTGCTGTATGTTGAGGAATCCATAATGCTGGCACACTTGCCAGCTGCTCCTGCCCACCAGAGGACCACCTACCACTGGCGTGGTGCCAGAGGTTGGCATGGCCTAGTTTAACCTGGAGGAGGTGGGGTCATGGTGTGTAAGATTCAGCATCTGGTTGATAATCCATGCTGTGTGTAGACCATGCCTGTGTCCCTTTGGGAGACACACAGATCCTACTCTAGGGATCTGGGGGGCTAGGGAAGAGAGCTTGTCAGCGCAGGTGTCCTCTGCAGGGTTTAGTATCAGGAGTCTTTGAACCATTTTGGTGAGAGTTTGATGTTATTATTTTTTTTAGATGTTATTTATTTATTATGTAACAGTGTTCTGTCTTAATGTTTGCCTGCATGCCAGAAGGTGACAGCGGATCTCATTACACCAGATCTCATTACAGATGGTTGTGAGCCACCATGTGGTTGCTAGGAATCGAACTCAGGATCTCTGGAAGAGCCATCTCTCCAGCCTAAGTTTGATGTTATCTCGTGGTTTTGTTTTCTATGTTGATATATTTGTTTGTTTATTTTTAGCAGTTTCAGCTTCATGGCCAACTGAATAGAAAGTACAGGAAGCCCCCATGGCCTCCTCCTACTTCCCCTTTTAGTAGCAGGTTGAACTGATCTAGTGGTGCTAATGTTTTGTTTAGTTTTATTTTTGAAAATATTTTTTAAATGCTGAAGATTTAATTCAAGGCAAACATCTACTTCGGAGCCACATCCTCAAACCACTAATGTTGAGACAGGGTTTCTCTGTGTAGCCCTGGTTGTCCTGGAACTCACTCTGTAGACCAGGCTGGCCTCGAACTCACAGAGATCTGCCTGCCTCTGCCTCCCGAGTGTGCCACCACCTATTTTATTTGTTTGTTTATTTATTTTTTTTGTGTCTGGGCCTCACTGTATAGCCCTGGCTAGCCTGGAACTATGTAGACCAGGATGGTCTTGGATCCCCCACAGAGATGCACCTGCCTTTGTCTTTTGGGTATTGGGATTAAGATTGTGGGCCATCATGACCAGCCCAAACCACTGATGCCTTAAATGTCAGAGTTATGGGGAGGCAATTTTCTTGAAATAAAATGCATCTGTTTTAGGGTGTGGCTCCTTGGGTTTTGGTATATGTATACAGTTGTGTTGCTGCTGTGGTCAGGACATCTGTTATCTCAAAAAGTCACCTCTGCCCCTCTGAAGTCAACAACTCCCCCTCTCCCAGCTGTTTGATGGGTTGCCTGATCCCACTATTAGTCTGCCTTATGAACATGGCAACACAGTCTGTTGCCTTCATGGTCCCTTCTTTTCCTACAGCATGGTGCATTCCTGCTATTGAAGGGTTAGGGGTTCTAAACCTGAATGCTGAATAATATTTCTTTGCGTGGTTGGACTACAGTTGTTTTTCTAGTTACCTTTGAAGGTCATTGGGTTGCTTTCTTGTTTTGGGGTTTGTAGCACAAGTCATAAAAACACAGAGACAGATATTGGGGTTAAAGCCGAAGATCAGAGAAGCAAAGCAGCCAGCCACTAGAGAGTTCTCACCTTTGCTAATGCTCAGATGGAAGGGCTGATCCCAGAGCACTGCTCTCCACCAAACCTCAGAATGCCTGAGCTCCTGTCTCCTCCCACCCTGTATTCCTCTCTAACGCTGGGATTAAAGGTCAGGATCCTAAGTGCTGAGACCCTTTGTGTGTGCTCTGTTATTTCATGCAGCTCAGGGTGGCCTTGAACTAACAAGAGAGCTGCCTGCTTCTGTCTCCTGAGCGCTAGGATTAAAGGTGTGTACCACCACTGCCTGACCTCTATGGCTAGCTAGTGTGGCCAGCTTTGCACTCTGATCTTCAGGCAAGTTTTATTTGTTATATCATAAACAGAAATATCACCGCAGGGGTTATGGTTAGACCCACTGCAAATGTACAGGTTTGTGCATAGACATTTCATTTCTGTTGGGGGAAAGACCTAAGCGTAGTTGCAGGATCACATGGTCAGCATCTGTTTATAAGGAAGGCACATGTCACTCCTGATCCTTCTAGACCATGCTTCCACACAGGGCTCCTGAGAAAGGTGGCTGAGGATGCTGCGTGGGAGGTGAGTTTTATAGGGGAAGTGGGGTGCGGGCTGACGGTTTCACCCAGGAGACCTAGGACTAACCCAGCCCTTTTGAAGCATCACTCAGTGTTCCTGCTTCTGCTTCAGGAAAACATTTCCGATGTCATCTTCAGTAGGTCAGGGCCTCCCATCAACACAGACGGAGCAGCGAGGGCCTTTGTGACCTAGTGCTGTGGATGTGTGAGATGGAGACTTAAGGAGGTCTGGTTTTGCAAATGTGTCTTTTTCTCTCCCTGCTACAGTGTGGCATCATCCTAGGGGCCCTGCTCTTGCTCTTCTGCTCATGGATGACACACCAGTCGTGCATGTTCTTGGTGAAGTCGGCCAGTCTGAGCAAGAGGAGAACCTATGCTGGCCTGGGTAAGACCTGACTTTCAGAGTGCCGGCAAAGCGGGGCGGCCCCTTCCCAAGAAGTCTGATGCTCTTGCTTGGGGCCGGGTGGGTTCTGGGGGGGGGTCTCATTCCTCTTGTTTTCTATTTCTTCTTAAGGAGGTTTATTTGTTTTAAAAATGTGCATTAGTGTTTTGCCATGGGTTTTGGGTCCCCTGGAGCTGGAGTTACAGACAGTTGTGAGCTGCCATGTGGGTGCTGGGAGTTGAACCTGGGTCCTCTGGAAGAGCAGTTGGTGCTTTTTAACCCCTGATCCATTTCTCTAGCCCCTGGGGTTTGGGTTTGTTTGTTTGTTTGTTTTTGAGCAATGTTGTTTTTTTTGGGGGGGATTTCAAGACAGAGTTTCTTTGTGTAATAACCCTGGCTATCTTGGAACTCACTCTGTAGGCCATTTGGCCTCAAACCCACAGAGTTTCTCCTGCCTCTACCTCCCAAGTGCTGGATTAAAGGTGTACATCTCCATACATGGCTTTTTTTTTTAATCATTAATTTTAATACGAGTTGGATGTGGTGGTGCATATCTATAATCCTAGCACTTGGAAGGATAAGGTAAGAGGAGAAGACATTCAGGGCCATAGGAAATTTAAGGCCAGCTTAGGCAACACGAAACTGTCTCAGAAACAAAGCAAGGGCTCGTAAGAGGGTTACCGTGAGCTACTGCACAAATCTAGCAACCTGAGTTCAATTCCTAGAACCCACATAAAGGTGATAATAATAGGAGAGAACCAGCTACACAGACTTGTCTTTGATCTACACATCCACCCACAGTGTGCCATTAATGCACATACACACACACACACACACATGCACACATGATAATGAATAAAGTTAGGTATGTGCACACACACACACACACACACACACCGTTGTTGTTTTTGAGACAAAGTTTCACTGTGTAGGTGTGCTTAGCTTAGAACATGCTATGTAGATCAGACTGTCCCAGAACTCACAGAGATCTCCTTGTCTCTACTTTTTGAGTGCTGAATAAAAAAATTTTTAAAAATATATAATTAATAACACTGTTCAAAAATTAAAAAAAAAAAAAGCCTGGTGGTGCACACTTTTAATCCCAGCACTTAGGAGGCAGAGACAGGTAGATTTCTGAGTTCAAGGACAGCCTGATCCACAGAGTGAGTCCCAGGCCAGCTAGGGCAACAAAACAAAACAGCAGAACCACCTGCCTCAGAGTTGACCTGCGATGGTGATGGAGGGTTCAGAGCGACAGGCCTCTTTCTTTCCTGCCCTTATCCTCATGCCTCTTGTACATATGTGCATACTTGCCCTTCAAGTCAGTAGAGTTGCTGTTCCCGTGGCCTTCTGATGGCTTGCTGCCTCTAACCCTAGTACCTTGAAGCCGTCCTGGGAGATGCTTAGAGGAGCATCTCCCACTCCCAGAACTCGGTGGTGGAAGCTCTCCCGTCCCGCTCGTGGCCGGGACTCAGTGCCCATCTGCCCCTGCTTTCTTCCAGCACTGTTGGTGGTAGTTCTGGCCTCTCTAGTTCTTTTCAGGGTTTTTTTGTTTGTTTGTTTGTTTGTTTGTTTGAGACAGGGTTTCTCTGTGTAGTCTTGCTATCCTGAACTCACTCTGTAGACTGTTCTACATATGTCTGCCTCTGCCTCCCGAGTGCTGGGTTCAAAGGTGTGCACCACCACTGCCCAGTGCAGCCATGGCTTCTTATAGTTGGTTGGCCAGTCAGTTATTCTTCGAAAGTCTCTGAGAAGTCAAACCGGTTTGTCCCGCTGTGAGAGATGGAAAGAACATTGTTGAATGGACACCTCTAAGTGCTGGCTGCCTGGGGCTCCAGCTAAACTGAATGTGTTAATTTACTGGAGACAACAATTTCCCCGATTCCCAGTAGTCTTAGCTTATGCTTTTTTTCTTTTCTTTTTTCTGTTTTTTTGAGACAGGGCTTCTCTGTGTAGTTCTGGCTGCCCTGGAACTCATTCTGTACATCAGGTTGGCCTCGAACTCTGAGATAGATCTTCTTGTGTTTGCCTCCCAAGTTTTGGGATTAAAGGCATGTGCCACCACTCTCTGGCCTAAACAAGGTGGCTTAGTTGTGTGGTCCCCAAGAGTCTTTTAGACTCTTACTCTCCCAGATAGTCTTCTGGGCCCTCAGTTTGCCAGGTACCCAGAGCTTTCCTAGACAATTCCTTGGAACCCTGATCTCCCTGGATCCCAAACTCTGGGGTCCCCAAACAGTCTTCTTGACCTGTCGGCTCTCCCCAGGTCCCTTTGTCCATAAGGTGTGGTGACCGGCTGTATGGCAGCCAGAGCAGCACAGGGGAGGGTTTCCTGTGCCGCCTCCTGCCCTGGCTAGGCCCCACGTGTAGCGTGGAGCCCTCACTCTTCTGTAGCTGGACAGACACCTGCCTTTCTCCCTTGCCCTCCGTCCTCTCGATGGACCCAGACTCAGTGTGTGCTTGTGCTGCAACCCATGGGGTGCTCAGAGCTGAGCCCCTCATCCCCGCAAGGCCCCAGACCCGACAGCTGGCTGTATCTGTAGGTGACATGTGCAGAGGCCATGGAAGAAGAGTGGCAGCCATAGCTTCAACAAAGAGCCTGTCTACCATTTGTGCTCCATGGGAGTCTGGGGACCTTTCCCTCACACTGGCTACTTTGCATTAACTCTTAGCAGTATCACCAGCGGTGGCAGTGGCCTCTCTTATCTGACAGACCCCCTCCCCCAGTTCTAGAGAGCGAATGTCCACAGGGTGGGAGTTGTTGGTGAGTTTGGGCACCGGTGTGCTTTGTTGTCTCCCTGTTGTGGTTGTCGGATGGTTTTTATAAACTTTGCCCTCCTGCTTCTGTGCTGTGCCCAGCTTGTCATACCCCACATGACCTTTTCACTTCAGAAGGTGTATGAGTTAGGGTTTCTAGTGCAGCCCGCAGAGGAAAGGGTTCCTCTCAGCTGACAGCTCTCAGGTCACACTCTGTCGCTGAGGGAAGTCAGGGCAGGCAGGGCCTGAAGCAGAGCCAAGGCGAGGCGCTCCTCACTGGCTTGCCCCTCATGTCTTGCTCAGCCTGCTTTCTTATAAAAGTCAGGACCACCTGTCCAGGTGTGACGCCGCCCACAGTGAGCTGGGTCCTCCCGCATTGATCATTAATCAAGAAAGTGCCCCCACAGACTTGCTGCAGGAGTCCGATGGAGGCGTTTTCTCAGTTGAGAGTCTCCTAGTTATGTCTAGATTTGTGTCAAGTTGACAAAAAACCAACCATGATAGACTGTGACACAGACGTATCAGTGGCTCTTGGGGAACTCTTCTGGGCATTAGGCCCTGTCCTAGGAGTGGGTGCTCTGGGATGGAAGCCACCTTCTCTAGCAGTGGAGACTGTGTGATGTCCCCCTGGCCTCTTACTATTTAGCTGTGAATGGTTGATGTTGCTGGTACTGGGTCGCCATGGGTCATGGTCAGTGTGCCTCCTCCCAGTCTTCATGGGCCTGGGGCAGTTAGTGCCTGCGGGGCATGCTGATTGAGTGCCTCTTCTTGCACGTCCTTGAGTGGTGTGGCCTGTGCGCCTGCCACTTGGTTTGGTGACCAAGACTGTGAAGTACAGCTCTCTGACACCTGTTTTTATGCTGTCCCAGCCTCCTGGAGTTGACGATGTTTATTGCGCACCTGCCCAGTTCTGCTGGCTGTGTTGAAGTCACTGGCCAGCCTTCCCTGCCTTGCGTTACTCAGCCATGCACAGCAGCCTCTTGCCTTGCTGTTGCTGGGTATTGCAGGCAGGCGGAGGGTGAATTGGAGGGTGGAATCGTTCTCCCCGTTGTCCTGTGGCCCTGCTCCTCAGGGAGATAGGGAGGGGCAGGTGGGCAGAAAGCCTGGGCGCGGCTTTCTGTTGCGCGAGCTCCTGCTGCTCTTTTGGTCAACGACCTCTACTTTCCTATATCTGGAAGCATGCGTGTTCTGGACTTTTCTAGGTCAGGGTATTCTGTATTTGAAGTGTGCAGTAGGGTAGGAAGGATTGAGAGGAGGGGTGGGAATGGGTCAGCGCTTAGGCCCTCCATTTCTATACCAGTGTTCTGGCACAGGGCAGGCAGCTATGAGTGTCATCGCCTCTGGAGCTCTTTTAGTTTTTTGAAATTCTCAGTCTAGACCTTGAGTAACATTCTGGACTGGGTTCGGTATTCGCTAGATGAACTTGAGGGGTTTACTGGGTTCCTTTCCCAACTGAGTCTGGGAAAGGCCAGAGTGACCCCTGGAGGCCGAAGTCCTTGTTGTCCTTAGACCAGGCTGAGGCTGGTGCCAGCTGTCTGGCTTTTGCCAACTCTGCTTCTTCCTCAGCTAAAAGTAACAAGGGTTTTGTTTGGTTCATTCATACCCAGTGGGTGTGTGTTTCCTGCTCTTCACCCTCAGAGGGCTGCTGGCCCAGAGTGAGGGAGGAAACAAGGGGCAGGAAGGGGCAGGAAGCTGGGGCTGTGACAGGGTTGAGGCCGTCCTGTCACATACACGCCTTTGGCCGCTCCCAGTAGACAAGAGCTTCCCTTTGCCCTCGTCTGGCTGGAGTGTGGGGGAAACTGGGTGACCGGATAACTGTTAAGGTCCTGTGAAGGACCTTGTTGAGTCAGCCTTTAATTTCCCATCTGCTAGAAATAGTTTTGGGTCAGGAGTGAAAGACAGAGACCCTTTCCTGGTAGGACACTGCTGGGGCCATGCATGCTTGCCATTGTCACAGTTCTTTTGCTGGCTGTCCTGGGCATGCTTGCAAAGATTCGGGTTTGTTCAGTAAATCACAATCAGAGGGTAGATACGGTGCCCTTGGCCATATCCCTGTGGTGCAGGGCGTGGACACTGGGCTCTGGGGCAGCGCTTCAACCGATTGGATCCCTCGTGAGTTCTCCCTCCTTCCCTGCCCCCAAATGAGGCTAGCTCTGCTGTATTGGCACTACTCCAGGCAGGCCTACCCACGGCTACCATGGGCTCCCACTGCTTTATAGGGTCCTGGCTCCCTTTCCCCCTCTTACAGTTTCATATGAAACAACAAAAAACCCCTGCCCACGTTTCCCTTGCTTTGTTCTTGTTTCACGCACGCCGCACTCCATCTCATTCCAGAACGGTGGGTCTGAGGGAAGTCTAGGGACCAGAGTTTTAAAGTATTTCCTTATCCATGAAACTTGTAGCAATCGAACGCTTGGCGAACTGCCGTTCACAACTTTTAACTGAAGTTTTTCTCACCGTTGGATTGAGCTTTGTTCTCTTCTATTTCCTAGCATTCCATGCCTATGGCAAGGCCGGGAAGATGCTGGTGGAGACCAGGTAAGCCTTGTAGCCTTGCTGGGCCCCGCCCTTCTTCCTGCCGCAGTGCAGGAGCCTGTTGGGAAAGGAATTATGCACTTCATGTGCATTGGCTTGCAGCTTGTGTGATGCTTCTGCAGAGTTACTCAGAGAGTAGCTGGGAGTCACTCTGCTGTTCCCTTACGGTGGCAGTTGTCGAAGCTGAAGGCCTTATCTAATTCTTGCTGGGACCCCGTGCCTGAGAACGGAAACTTGGGGAGCACAGCACAACGGTTGTGGTATAGTTCACTCAGGGCTGGCTCTTCAAACTGTGTCACCAACTCTGCTGCACAAGAGAGGCACTAAACTGTGTCCCCAACTCTGCTGCACAAGAGAGGCACTAACTGAAATGTCTCATTGTTTTCGCCGAGAGTAAAATTGTATGAGTTGAAAAAAATTGTCGGGAAATTACTTTTAGGGTTCTAAACCAGGGAGTTGTAAAAACAGAAGAAAACAGTTTTTAGAGGCAGTAGATTACTCCTTTAACTTGTCTAACTTCACTGTGAGTTTTTGTTGCACCTGAATTTCTGAAGCTCCCGTGGAAGGAAAATACGATGTCCCACAGAGAATCGTTAAGTGTGGCTCAGTGTTCACCCCAAGTGCAGTGGAGAGAGCCCCCAAACATCCAGTCCCATGAGTGTGGACACACAAAAATGTCTCTCACTCAGCCAGTTTTCTGGCATAGCCCAGGGACTGCACTTGGCCCTGGGTGTCCGACTGGGAGCTCTTGAGTCTGGAGTCTTGCAGAGATGCGTGTTCTGATCACAGAGTAGCACTTTCGTTCAAGTCTGATTCCAAAGCCCGGTTTCTGCCTTCACAGCATGATTGGGCTGATGCTGGGGACCTGCATTGCCTTCTACGTCGTGATTGGTGACTTGGGCTCCAACTTCTTTGCTCCGCTGCTAGGATTACGGGTAAGGAACTATTAATTGTCTGGTCTGTTTTAATGCTTGTGGTTGCTACCCAGTGTCTCCTCTCCTTAATCCAGCTGAGACCAGTGTACTTGGCCCAGAGAAGCTTCCCATGCCTGCCAACCACTCAGGTTCCCCGGCTTGGATTTCAGGGACTTTGCTGGGGTAGTGTCTGAGAGATACCAGGAGAGCAAGAGCAGGCTGTGGTACAGCCTGTAGTGTGGGGGCAGGAAGGGGGAGGGACATGGCAGGACACACCGTTATGTAGCCCAGAGGCCTCAGCCTTCCAGTGCTGCCCATCAGAAGGCAAAAGAGGCCAGGTCCTCAAGTGGGTGCTGACCAGTGCATTGAGGCCGGGAGCTGGGCCTTCACCCTGCCGAGGAAGGTGTGAGGGCACTGCTAATCAGGCCTGAGACTAAGCTCTGCATCCTCCACACCTGCCAGTCTCTGTCCCTGGGGGGCCACACAACCTTCCTCCCCTACTGGGGAACAGAGCTGTAGCCAGTGCCTGGCTAGGGAGTGTGCACACACGGCCCTGGAGGGTCTTTTCTGTGAAGAGTCCTCCATGTCTGTTTATCAGACAGGTAGAGATGGGTTCTAGTTTGTAAAGACGGCAGCTGAGGGGTGGCCCTACTCAGGAATATAATGTGATGGATTTGCACGGCGCTGGAGAGCTTCCTGGTCCTGGTCTGTGCTTTGAAGGCATCTTTCCATTTGGGTTTCCATCTCCCACGCTTCCTGTGGATCTGGCAAAGCTGTGGGTCAGTCCCTCACACAGGTACTCAAAACCTACTGCCCTGCGCCAGGGCCAGGCATCTTGCCTGCAGTTCTGAGAGACTTGCAGGATGGACGATATTTGCCTTGGGAGCCTTGCAAGTGCTTTATACACAGTAGGCCAGCATGCACACCGTAGGGCAGCATGCCCAGAGCCTATCTGCCCTCTTCCTTCCTCCGTCACGCGTGCTGCCCCCATGCTCAGCAGTGTGGGGAGGGTCTAGACAAGCGGGCATTTGTAGCTGGGGAGTGGAAGCTCTCAAGGGCCTGGCAGAGCTCTTGGCCTCACCTGTGCTGTCAGCTCTGAAGAAGGATACAGGAAGTCAGAGTGTTGGCTGTAGCTGAGTTAGATGGAAGATATCTCCAGACCTTCGCTTGCTGGCAGATGCCAGTCTGGAGTTTTGTGGTGAATTTCCTGGATCAGAATTTCCTTCTGCAGCAGAGTTGGCTCCGAGATGTGTGGAGAAATGGTAGCCCCTCCTACCAACCCCTGGCGCCAGCTGTGCAGGGTGTGCCCAGAGCCAGCTGTGCAGGGTGTGCCCAGAGCCAGCTGTGCAGGGTGTGCCCAGAGCAGGACAGCCCCGCCCGCTCCTGCCTCATTTCCTCCCTGTGTAACAAGGGTTCGCTAACCCTTTCCTCCTGACCGGTCTCGTTGTGGAGCCTGGCGGGGCCACCCCGGGGCCACAGCTCTTTAGTGCTTTGACGCAGTGGCACAGCTGCCGAGAGGGGGGCTTTCCGAGTGAACACGCCAGCTTGACCCCCACCTTCTGTTGAAGGCCCCAAGGCGCTCCCCAGCCTGCAGCGACTCCTGTCCTGGCGGCACTGATAGGCTGAGCCTTGGCAGTTAGCTCAGGGCTCATCAGGGCTGCAGACTGAGAGGATTCTGGGTTCCCTTCCAGGTGACCAACAGCTTCCGCGTGTTCCTGCTCTTCACGGTGTCCCTGTGCATCGTGCTCCCCCTCAGCCTGCAGAGGAACATGATGGCCTCCATCCAGTCCTTCAGCGCCATGGCGCTCCTCTTCTACTCCATCTTCATGTTTGTGGTGAGCGCCGCGTGCACTGTTACGGGGTTGTTTGTGACTTGGTCCCTGAGTCTGGTGTAGCCATCAGCTGTCTTGTGGGGGAAAGGGAAGGTGGCTCAGAGTCTTACAAGTGTGGTAGACTTGCTGTAGTGTCATGAAGGCAGTATGAACGCATGTCTGACCGGTGAGCGCCAGAGGCGGTACAGTTGGATAGCAGAAGGAGGGGCTCTGAGAGCAGAAGGAGGGGCTCTGAGAGCATCGTGTCTTTCCCAGGTGTAGTGGCTGTGTGTTATTGTGTGGGAAATAAGATTCTGGGACACAATATAGGCTGATGGGTGTTTATTCGGGGAGAAATCACTCTCACCAGAAACAGATGACCACAGCGGGTTCCGTCCCAAGGATGTCCCCGATGCTCTCTGTCTTTGACCAGGAAGTAGGAGCTCAAGCTGGGGTCCGGGATCCCAGGCCCAGACCCCTCATGCCACATCTGCACCTGTCCTCACGCCCCAGTGGGTGTGGTCACTGCAGCAGGTGTGGGTGGGGTGGGTGTCTCACTGCGTGTGTTTTATGGGAAGATCTTTCATGTGAAACATGCAGCCAGGTGCATGATGCTACCATGGTGGCATTTGTCATTTTTGGTGCCAGCTTTCTCTAAAAGCTTTGTGGAGAACAGTCTGGAAGATGAGGACCTCTGAGAGGGCCCTCACCCATTGTTGCCTGACCCTGCTGAACTTTGACCCTTAGGCTTCACTTTGACCGGCTGGGGGAGAGCAGGGCCACGCTTTCTCTCGAGGTTTGTGCAGTCTGGGCTGCAGGGTTTCATTGCGGTCATGGTTGCCCCGCAGCTCTTTGGGGCTCAGCCCAGTGACAGTTAGGTCCCAGTCAGGTAGCCACATCCTCGGTGGCCGAGCTCCTGAGATGACTGTGTGCAGGAAGGGCATGCCATGTGAAGGGCACTGACGTCAGGGCTGGGATGGTGACTGAGGGTCCACCATGTGCAGAAAACCCCTGTGGCTAGTACCCCCCTCAGTAGTGTTCAAGCAGCTTCGGGTATGGACTGAGTTTGAGCCAGGGTCCAGGGAAGCAGGCAAGGTGGGGTCCTTGCCCCTTCATCCAGCCCCGGGCTACAGGAGTGAGCCATCTTGGATGTGGAGAGGAGCTGATGTCTCCTGTGCCTCCTGTGAGGCATGGTGGCTGGTGGTCACAGCTGCATGCTGACTCCCGACCCCCTGCCCTCCTTTCCTCCTCGCTTTAGATTGTTCTGTCCTCCCTTAAGCATGGCCTCTTGAGTGGGCAGTGGCTACAGCGTGTCAGCTACATCCGCTGGGAGGGCGTTTTCCGCTGCGTCCCCATCTTCGGCATGTCCTTTGCCTGTCAGTCGTAAGTACTGTTGAGGTGGAAGGGTGTGGGCGTGGCCTGAGGGTGTAGAGGGGTGGGAGTGAGCTGAGGCGGCCTGGGGACCAGAGTCCTGCTTCTCTGGTTTCCTGGGTTGCTTGTTCCTGGCCACTGAGGAATGGTGGCTTGTGGCTGGGGGGTGGGGGGGTGGGTAGCTCTGTGCTGACCTGGAAATGAACTATCGCTGGGACTGACTGGCAAGGGCACCCAGCCTTGCAGACCCTGTGAAAGGAGAGCAGTCTGTGGGGTGCAGCAGTAACCCAGCCATCTGATTGTGCGGAGTCCCCAGTGCCTTGCCAGAATCTGGTTGTTCTGAGAATATTTAAAAAGAAGTAAGAAGTTGCAAAAACATTGACTTGAGGCTGCTGCTAGGGAGTCTCTGAGGCTCGCGTGTGCGGGCGTTGAGGCTCATGTGTGTGAGTGGCGAGGCTTGCTCATGTGTGCGGGCAGTGAGGCTGGTGTGTGCCCGCGGTGAGGCTGGCGTGTGCGGGCGGTGAGGCTTGCGTGTGCGGGCGGTGAGGCTGGTGTGTGTGGGCGGTGAGGCTGGTGTATGCAGGCAGTGAGGTTTGCTCGTGTGTGCGGGCGGTGAGGCCTGCGTGTGCGGGCGGTGAGGCTGGTGTGTGCGGGCGGTGAGGTTTGCTCGTGTGTGCGGGCGGTGAGGCTCGCGTGTGCGGGCGGTGAGGCTGGTGTGTGCGGGCGGTGAGGCTGGTGTGTGCAGGCAGTGAGGTTTGCTCGTGTGTGCGGGCGGTGAGGCTCGCGTGTGCGGGCGGTGAGGCTGGTGTGTGCCAGCGGTGAGGCTCGTGTGTGCGGGCGGTGAGGCTCGCGTGTGCAGCCGTACCTTCTGCATCGGGGTGGCGGGAGCTTGCGATGCGTGCCCGGGTGGGAACAGTAAGCATGAGTCTGACATCAATGGGAAGCGACCATCGGCATGTGTGTGGAGGGGGGGCTGGCAGAGAAGCCCCCCTCCTGTGGTGTTAGTGGGCATGTATTGTGCCAATTGTAAACTAGTGTGACAGAGAAGATTTGCTCACACGGCTGTGTTTACACTCACATGCGAGTTCCAAATCGTCATTTCCCACTTACTGGCTCCCTCTTGGCAGCTCTGTCTCCACCAGAATGTGCTCCAGCCTCGCTGTTTAATGTCCCCATTATCATTGGTGACAGAAGTTACATTCTTGTGCCGCATACCTAGTTACCATTTGTCCGTTCTGCCTGCATGTTTGCTTAAAAAAAAAAAAAAAAAAAACAAGCCTGTGGTTGGGCTTCTTTGGCGGTAGCCACCTAACAAGCAATGCATATCTGTGGGTTGGTTCTCAGTGCAAATTACTGGTTCCTGGAGGGTGGAATCATGCCCCTGTCTAAGTGCAGGGTTCATCTCTCCCTTCCATGAAGACCTGGGGGGGGGCATAAATGTACCTTCTTCCTCTCTGTTGGTCACACACTGTCCCCAGGCTGTAAGCACTGGGACGCGTGCCGGGTGAGGTGACACGATCTCTTCCCTCAGGGGGCTGTGCTTACTGGGGTGGCAGCCAGCCTCCTTACTTTGTGCCTGGTATAGTTCTTGTTGTCATCGTCTGGCCCTTGTGATCTTACTTCGTGGCAAATGAATCTTGGTCATGTGGAACATTGAAAGCCCCCATGGAAGAGAATGTACCTGGGGATGCCACTTTCAGCCCAGGGAACTGTGATGCCACAGAGGCTGCTCTCTGAAGCAGGGTGGGTGGGTCAGAGCGGGATTGGTGGGAGCCTGTGGGTCAGAGCGGGGATTGGTGGGAGCCTGTGGGTCAGAGCGGGATTGGTGGGAGCCTGTGGGTCAGAGCGGGATTGGTGGGAGCCTGTGGGTCAGAGCGGGATTGGTGGGAGCCTGTGGGTCAGTTTTTTCACTGTGTCCACCGCACATCCCCTCTTAACAGCACCTGCAGTGCCCTTGCCTGTGCGTGCACACGTGTGTTTGTGCGTGTGCACGTGTAACTGGCTCAGCTTCCCCCCAAGGTGGGCCTCCTGCTCAGATGGAGTCTTAGCCTGAGCCAGGGCTCCTTCTGGCTTCCCTTCAGTTTCCCTGCATCCCTGGAGCTGTGTAGGGTGTGGCTGCCTTGTTTCCTCTAGCTGAGTTCTGTGGCATGGCCTCTTGTGCTGAGGTTGACTTTAAGCCTGGGGTAGACAAGGGTAGCAGCTTTGCTTTGCCAGGCCCCTCCTACTTAGTCTTGCCTGCTTTCTGATTAAAGTTGTGTGTCTCTTTGTTTTTCTTGAACTTTGTTGTTGTTGTTGTTGTTGTTGTTTTTAGAGACTGTTTTGGAGCCTGTCCTAGAACTTGCTCTGTAGACCAGGCAGCCCTCGAACTCAGAGATCTGCCTGCCTCTGCCTCCCGAGTGCTGGGATTAAAGGCGTGCGTCACCAATTCCTGGCATTTTTGGGCATGGCTTCATTGATCCTTGTGTTGACCTGTTTATTGGTTGCTGATTTGCAGCATGCACATGCGTGTGTTAGTGCACATACACACACCTGTTTGCCTGGTTGTTCCTAGTCTAGGTTCCTTAGTGCCTTTGATTTTGTCCTGGAAGGCTATAAGCCACCTGGGAAATACTTGATGGTGGCTACCAGGTTTCCTCCGGTTCTAGCGTAGTTCCTTAGCTGAGGTCCTAACCCGAACCATCCCAGTCGCCGCTCCCTCCTCTCATTTTGTCCCCACACCTCGGAGTTGTCCAGGGCCTGCATACTCTCCTCAGCTGCGGTTTCTGTCCCAAGTCCTCAGACATGCTGTTTTCAGAGAGCCTTCGTGAGGTTGTCATAACCCTGGCCTGCGGGGACTTGGGTCCCTCCCACCTGGCCGTCCAGCAGCAGCACGCACACTCTGGGCACCAGGCCTAAGACAGAAGCCAGCTCCCTCATCCCACTGGTGAGAGGCTGCCTCCTCGTCTGTGCTCACACTTGTGTCTGCCGATGGTGCTGAGGTGGCTGCTGAACTTCCCATCCCCTGGCAGCGGCGGTGCACAGGGCCAGTTGCAAAGGTGTCTACGTGTGACCCGTTAGGTGTGTGGGTCTTAACCCACCCAGCTACTGTCCTTGGTACCATAGGCCATGGTCTATGGAGAAAGCTTTGGGAAGTGCCAGAGGTTTGTTCCCTGGGCCATTTTCATAGAGGTCCTAGGAGTTGTCAGGAGGGGCGGGTGAGGCTCTGCTTCTCTGGAGTCTGTGTGACTCGCTTGTCTTTACACAGCCAGGTCCTGCCTACCTACGACAGCCTGGATGAGCCATCGGTGAAGACCATGAGTTCCATATTTGCCTCTTCCCTCAACGTGGTCACCACCTTCTATGTCATGGTAGGAGCTGTCCCACACTCTCCTTGATGCCCATGAGCACAGCACACTGCCTCTCACACTCCAGACCCCATGGGACCTTCAGTGTCCATTTGTTGGGGTCACAGATACGCCACTGGCTCTGTCCTGCTCCATGCCAGTGTCTGTGGTGCATGACGTTCATGGCGACCCAGAGCAGCTCAGTTCCTCAGCCCCCGGCATCCCAGACCTGGGTACCCTTGAGCTGCTTCTGCCCAGGGCCGTGTGGCATCTTTTCTCTGTTTTGAAAGACAGGGTCTCACTTTGTATTCCTATTGTCCTGAAATTTGCTGTGTAGGCGAGGCTAGTCTCAAACTTGGGGTAATCCTCCTGCTTTTGCCCCCCAGGTGCTGGGGTTATGGGTGAGCACCACCATGCCCAGTTGTATTGACACTATCTAGTCTGAAGAGCTCAGCATCTTGGCCAGGGCTGGTTCCAGATTGCTTTCACTGGGAGGCCCTGCTTCCCCTCTCCATGGCCTTGTTAATTCTCTATAGAGGAGTGTTCCAGTAAAAGAGAAATTAAGGTGCATGAATTGCCAGTGTGAGAGAATACCCCATCCACAAACATTGAGAACGTTTGCAGTAGTTTCTCATCCCCTCCCCACAAGTCACGCTTTCTCTGTGTAGGCCTGGCTGTCTTGAAACTCCCTCTGTGGACTAGGCTGGCCTCGAACTCCTGAGTGCTGGGATCAAAAGTGTGTACCACCACCATCTGCCTCTTCTTCTTAATATACTTGTCGCTTGCTTTCTCTCTCTCTCTCTCTCCCTCCCCTCCCTCCCTCCCTCCCTTCTTTCCTTCCTTCCTTCCTTTCTTTCTTCTCTCTTTATTTGAAACAGGTTCTCATTGTGTGGCCAAATCTGTCCTGAAGCTCAATATGTAGCTTGGGCCTTGAACTCACAATCCTCCTGCCTCCTCCTCCCAAGAGCGGAGATTATACATCTGGCTTCTAAATAATAATCTGTCTCTAAATAATAATAATAGGGCTAGGAACCAGGCGTTGGGTGGCACACACCCTTAATCCCAGTACTCGGGAGGCAGAGGCAGGTGGATCTCTGTGAGTTCAAGGCCAGCCTGGTCTGCAGAGCGAGTTCTAGGACAGGACAAGCTCCAAAGCCACACAGAGAAACCCTGTCTCAAAAAACAAAACAAAACAAAACAAAACAAAAAAAAAAAAAAAAAAAAAAAAGAATACAGGGCTGCTAGGAAAGTAGCCTAGTTGGGAGAGAGCCTGCCTTGCATGCATGAGCCCCTGCGTTTGATCCCCAGAACCATGGAGGGGAAAGATGCTGTCTTAAATGGGGTGTGAACGTGCTAGGGTTGCAGCTCAACTCCTGTCCTCTCCTGTGGCATCAGTCCGCTCAGTGGTCTTTCCAGTGTCATCCGGTCCTGGGGCTTCTTCCCTGCTCTCCATCCCACAGCTGTTTGACTAGCTTTACTTTATTTGTGTGGTTTTTGAGGCAGGATCACACTGTGTCCCAGTTTGGCCTAAGATTCTCTCCATGCTTTTGTCATTGCTTCCCAAAAGCTGGACCACAGGCTGCTGCACCTACACCCAGCTCCTGACTGGGTTTGAACCAGATTGAGAGCAGCTCATCTGAGCCAAGCTCTGGTGGTGTACACCTTTTAATTTCAGAACAGGCAGATTTGCATAAGTTTGAGGCTAGCTTGAGCTACAGAGTGAGTTCAGGACAGCCAAGGCTACACAAAGAAACCCTGTCTTGAAAAACCAAAAAAAAAAAAAAAAGGCTCCTCTGAAGAGCTTGGAGGTATTCTAGAATCTTCTTGTCCATATAGGCAACTCCATTTTTGCCTCATTTATGGTTCTGTAGAAGTTACATTGACGTTACACTTCAACCGTTCGTTCACCTCGGGCTACCACAAATGTCATGACTGAGAGCTGAGGGGTGCTTTTGTCCTCGGGAGGTGGGTCTTGTGCCAGCTTCCTTGGGGAGGTACGCTGAGGCCAGTGTGGGACAAAGACGGACAGACAACCAGACAGGCAGCCACACAGTGTCTGCGGTGGACTCACAGACAGCTGGCCACATTGCCCCTTCTCTCACAGGTGGGCTTTTTCGGCTACGTCAGCTTCACTGATGCTACTGCGGGCAATGTGCTGATACACTTCCCCTCCAACCTGGTGACAGAGATGATCCGAGTGGGCTTCGTGATGTCCGTGGCCGTGGGCTTCCCCATGATGATCCTGCCGTGCAGACAGGCCTTGAACACACTGCTGTTTGAGCAGCAGGTATGATCTTTCATCCCCTTGGGCTAGCTCTGTGTTTCCATGACAGCGGTAGGTGGAGCTTTTCCTAGTTATTATTAATAAACAAACTTTAAGCTTGTGTGTGTGTGTGTGTGTGTGTGTGTGTGTGTGTGTGTGTGTGTGAGAGAGAGAGAGAGAGAGTTGACCCCTTCTCGCGTGGGTCCAGGTGTTAAACCCGGATTGTCTGGCAAATGCTCTTACCTGCTGAGCCATCTTGCTGGCCCACACAAACTGTAGGTGAAGTGGTCTTGGGTTATTTTGAGGGGAGTCTGCCATGTTTTCCAGGCTGGCCTTGAATTCAGGGCTCTCTCCCCTAGTACTGCCCTCTGAGTGCTAGGATCACAGGTGTGTACCGTCTTGCCCAGCTGAAATGAAGTGGTTTTTGTCGTTGTTGTTTGTAATTTAAATTTTTCCATTATTTACTGAGGTAGTGGGGCTTACACGCCATGGCATGTGAACAGAGGTCGGATTAAAACTGGTGGGGTCCAGTTCTTTTCCTTCACCATGTGGGTTCCTGGGATCACACTCAGGTTGTCAGGATTGATGACAGGTGCCTTTACCTGCTGAGCCTTTCTTGCTGGCCCTGCCAGAAAGTTTTTGATGGAGATCATCCTTCCTTCCTTCCTTCCTTCCTTCCTTCCTTCCTTCCTTCCTTCCTCCCTTCCTTCCTTCCTTCCCTTCTCTTTCTCTTTCCTTTGTTGCTGGGGATTGAACCTGAGCCTTGTGTACTCTAAAGCACCACCCACTGCTCTTGAGCTGTGCGTACTCCCGGCCCCCTGACCAGGCTTGAGTTAACCTTTGTAGAAAGAACACAGAAGTCCCCTTTGGGCCATGCCAGCTGTGTAGGCAACTTAGTTCATCTCTGGGATTTGCCAGCATTGATGCTAGCAACCTCAAGTCAGAGGAGCAGTGAGACATCAGGACTGTTGTGGAATGGCCCTGGGGAGGCTGTGGCAGGGACACAGACTCATTGGCCAGCATTGCTCATGACTGAATCATGGGATGGGCTTGTCCGCCTCTGCTCTTTGTAGTAACTTCTGTGCATTGTGATGGTAGAGCCCTTGTACTGTGTACTGTGTGTGTGCACGCGTGCGTGTGCGTGCATGCGTGCGTGTGTGTGTGTGTGTGTGTGCGCGCGCGCGTGCATGGGCACACATGTGCTTGTCACAAGGGACTTTCAAATACAAGCAGGGATAGAAACTCAAAGGCTGGCTCTCTGGTCCTTGGTTGCTGTTGCCCTGGGTTACCTCATCTCCATTAAGCTTCTCCATCTCAGCTTCCCACTCTTGTTCACAGGGCCACTCTTTCCTGAGTCTGGTCAGGTAGCTCCACTGGCTGGACTGTTTTCTGTGATGACATTGGAATACCTGACCTGTCTGATCAGCCAGGACTCCTGGTGGCACAAGGTCACTCAAGCACTTAGGGTAAGGGGAGGAGCCGTCGTGGTCCCCAGGTGTGGAGTCCAGTAGACACAGGCACGTAGCTGCCTGTCTGGTCCAGTTGTGGCAGTGCTGTTGTTTGTGTCTCCTTCTACGGACTCTGCCACCAGCGTCGGTAGAGGCCCAGTGCCAGAGGCCGAGTGCATCTCACAGGCCAGCTCTTGGTCTGCCTCGGCTGGTGTCTGTGTACCTGGATGCCATGCAAAGTAGGATTTAGGACTTTGTCCTTTAATTTGGTATCTTAGGGTTTCTATTCTGTGAAAAGACACCATGAGCATAGCAACTCTTATAAAGGAAAACATTTCTGCCGTTTCAGAGGTTCAGTCCATTGTCACCATGATGGGGAGCATGGCGGCCTGTAGGCAGACAGGGTACTGGCTACATTTTGATCAGAAGGCAACAGGAAGTGGTCTGAGACACTGAGTGGTAGCTTGAGCATAGGAAACCTCAAAGCCTATTCCCACAGTGACACACTTCTTCCAGCAAAGCCACACCTCCTAATAGTGCCACTCCCTATGACTTATGGGGACCAGTTACATTCAAACTACCACAAGGGTCAAAGGTGAGACCAGTTCTGTGGCCAAAGGTTCACCCTACTCCACCCTGGGCCATACTGTAGCGCCTCTGTTTACGGTTGCTGAACCCACCCCTTGCTGCCTCATGGGAGCTTGGTACATGTGCTTCAGAATGAAAGCAGTATTGGTGCTTGTTACATAATATCCCCTCCTTTGCAAAGTTTGTGTGTGTGTGTGTGTGTGTGTGTAAGAGAGTATGTGTAAGTGTGTGTGTAAGAGGGAGTGTGTGTAAGAGAAGTGTGTGTGTAAGAGAGTGTGTATGCAAGAGAGAGAGTGTGTAAGAGAGAGTATGTGTGTAAGAGAGAGAGAGTGTGTGTGTGTGTGTGTGTGTGTGTGTGTGTTTGAGGCAGGATCTTAACTTACTATGTAACTTTAACTGATCTGGCCTTCGCTATCTAGACCAAATTGGTCTTGAACTCACAGAGACCTGCCTGCCTCTGTTCCCAAGTGCTAGTGTCTAGCTCTGTTGTAAAGTTAAACATCAGTAATAGAAGGAAGTATTAAGAAAGTTTACCACCAGGCAGTAGCGGTGCATGCCTTTAATCCCAGCACTTGGGAGTTCCAGGACAGCCAGGACTACACAGAGAAACTCTGTTTTGGAAAAAACAGAGAGAGAGAAGAAAGAAATGAAGACAGAAGAAAGGAAGGAAGAGAGAAGAGAGAGAAGGGGAAGGAAGAGAGAGAGAGAGGGGAAGGAAGTTCGTTCACTCTTTTCTCCTTGGCATGCATATGGCCACTTCCCCAGATTATATCTATTTACAGTGTTATTTTCCCTTCCCTTCCCTTCCCTCTGTTTCAGTAGATTCACTGGGTGCCTGTCTGTGTATCCATGGAAACCCACAGCATCTCTACCTGTTGCTCATCCCCTCTTGTCGATGTTCTCGTGCTGATGGCTTTTCTGACTGTCCGCACACAGGTTCCCACTTCCTCCTTTAGAGACTTTCTTGGTCAATTTTCAGTGCTGTGACCAGGATTCCTGGGTTATGGACAGACTGTCATCCCTATTCAGCAAAAGATTTCCACTCCAGCGACCTCAGTCCACCCACGTTAATGTCTGTTATGAAAATAGAGTGCTCTGAAACTGGTTCTGGAAGGTTCAGTTGTTCCTAACCCAGGAGTGCTCATCTGGTCAACCCTTCCCGTGCGTCAGTTCACACTAGGCCGTGTGGGACTCGAAGGCCACCGCCTCCTGTGCTGCCTGAGATGAGGGTCCTGTGTGCCGGGTGTGGCGGGGTGCTGGGCTGGGCCACATCAAGTCTCCACCTTCCTCCGTCCTGGACTTTGAAATTGTTGGGTGCCCACCACGGATCTGTTGGGAATGATAAGGGCTAAGCGTGCACATGTGCGTGAGTGCATGTATGTGTGCGTGTGTGTATGTAGGGTTTCTGAAGCTGCACACCCAGGAGAAGCTGACTCACTCACCAGGGCTGTCCCTCTGGAGCCTTTACTCTGCTGTCCAGTTTGCGTATCTTTAAGACTCTGTTTTGTCTTTGCACTAAGAGCAAATACGAAAATTAAGAGTGCAATGCTAATGTTTCAAAGCAGAGTTGTAAGATGTAGAGCCCATACCTGGAGTAATGCTTATGGCTCCTTGGCGTTCTGCGGGCTTCCATTAAAGCTACTCAGCCAAATCTGATTAGGCTGGAACATTCACCTGCCAGGTGAGCGCCTGCCTGGACCCATGCAGAGATAGGCCTGCTTGGCAGAGCCCAGTGTGGCATTGTGCCACTGGGAAGTAGTCATTTCAAAGCTGTTGTTTTATTTTCTTTCACATAGCAAAAAGATGGAACCTTTGCTGCAGGAGGCTACATGCCCCCTCTCCGGTTTAAAGTCCTCACCCTCTCCGTGGTGTTTGGAACCATGGTCGGTGGAATCATGATCCCCAATGGTAAGGTGGGCGATCCCTACCCCTGCTGCTGCTTTTCTGCCTTGAGTTTTCCCTCATCCTTGTTGCGTGGGGGACCCAGAGGTGTCCCTGGCCTGTGCTTAGCATGTAGCTACGTGTATTTCCAAAGTCTCGTGCCATTCTTGCCGGCATCCTAAAAACTGCCTGAAGTCAAGGTCATACCTGTTCCTTGTACCTTGCTGTCACTAAACACAGGAGGAATAGCTTGCACCAGTCAGCACATTGTAGCCTTTTTCACAGACATCTCAGGACAAGGCACGAGGTTATCTGCCGAGTGACGATAGAGTGTACTAGGGCTTGTGGAGCCAGCACCTCATCTTGACAGGAAACCCTGTGTTTGGCCATTTCTTTGTTTGTTTGTCTACCTGTCTACTTACTGACTTACTGGTTTTGTTGAGACTGGCCTCAGACTTGGAGATCTGCCTGCCTCTGCTTCACTGCCCAGCTTGTGCTTGGCCTTTTTAGGGTGAGCTGTCAGAGTTTCCTAGACTGTTCTTCTCTGACAAATCCTAGTGTATGAGGGGGAGGCGGAGCCCCTTGGGCACGGCGATGGCTGCTCACCAGCAGTAAGGCAGCCTGTGCAGTGACCCTGTTCATCTTATGCCAGTCACGTCTTGCTCTCTGTTCGTTTGTAGTGGAAACCATCCTTGGCCTCACAGGGGCGACGATGGGGAGCCTCATCTGCTTCATCTGCCCAGCTCTGATCTATAAGAAAGCCCACAAGAACGCCCCCTCAGCCCAGGTGAGTGTGCCCCTCCCCTAGGCCATGTTCCGCCTGATCCTTGGCCAGTTAGTCTAGTCAGGGAGAGGTAGCAGAGTGCAGTCTTAGTCAGCTTCCTGCTGTCTTTGCTTAACACCCATAGCTGCTTGCTCCTCAACTGCGGGTGTGAGCGTCCAGGACCGCCTTCTATTTTACCTGATTCCTAGAAGTTCACTATAGTAAATGCCATAATCTAGTCCCCATGCATCCATCTCCTGCCTTTTGCTGTTACAGCCCGCAGGTGTTTCCATGTGCGTGGGACTGTCTGTAGAAGGTATTCCAGAGAGATCTCTGGTCAGGGTGGAGAGCCTTTCACACTGTGCCTGGCGCAGTCACAGCTCCAAGGCGCGTGTCACCATTTTCGCGGGCACTGTGGCTCCCAGAGTGAGGAAAATGCTGTTTGATGGGCACAGATGCCACTTAGTTCTTTTTCTGTGAACTGCCCGTGTCTAGCTTCCTTTTCAGGGCATTGTTGAGTGTTCTCTTACTGACATGCTGGTAGATGTTTAAATGGGCCCCACTTGGCAGCTCACACCTGTTTGTAACCCCCATTCCAGGGGAACTGACACATAGACATACATGTAGACAAAGACACCAAAGAACATAAAATAAAAATAAATTATATATTAAAAAGAGAAGAGATAACGGTGGTCTTGGACAGTGGCTTAGTGGGTAAAGCACCTGAACAAGTATGAACCCTGGAGTTCCGATTCCCAGAACCCACATAAAAGCTGGGGGGGGGGAGGAGGGAGCGCTGGTAAACACGGCTCTTGGGAGGCAGAGACCCTGTCCCTGGAGCAAGCTGGGTAGCTGGACCAGTTGAATCCGGGCTCAGTGAAAAACCCTATCTCAGTAAATAGAGAGCAATTGAAGAAGTTATAGCAGCAGCCTTAGGTCTCCGCATGCACATAAAGTGAAAAAAAAAAAATACAGAATGTATGTAGAAAAACATAGTTCTTACATACAGCTTGACATATTTTTGCGGCGTGACCCCAGCCGAAAACCATCATTTAGGGCAAATTGAATATCCTGCCACCTGTGAGCCATCTCATCGTCTAACCCTGCATCTCAGAGGTTATTATTGTCTCTTTCGGTGGCTCCAGCTTGAGGCAGCAGGGTGTCAGGCTTGTCCTGTGCAGTGGCCACCGTCACTGCATGAGGCCTTTGCAGGTCCCTTGTTCGCCACATTAACCAGCTGTGTCAGGGAGGGCTCTCTGAAGAAGGATAATATCTGTAGTAAAAGGAGCTTGTTAGGATGGCTTACAGGCTGGTGTCTGGGTAGTCCATCAGTGACTGTTTCACCGTGGAAAGGCCAAGAACCTGGAGGTGTTCTGTAAGGAGTACGGTTTTTCCGCCTGCCGCCGCTGGTCTTGTCCCACCACCACGCCAGCCCCAAATAATGCACAGAGACTCTGTATTTGATAAAATTCTGTTGGCCAGGTACTAGTTTCTTATCGGCTAGCTCTGTCTTAATTATTAACCCATTTCTATGTATTTCCACATGGTCTTACCAGCGAGAGGCAGCTGGCAGTTCTATTCTCTCCAGATTCTCCATCTTGACTCCTCCTTCCTACTTCCTATTTCCTCCTTGTCTCTTAGTCCCTCCTATCTTCCTTTCCTATTGGTCAACAGTGCTTTATTCATTAACCAGTATGAGAAACATATACAGAATGACATCTCCCATCAGTGTTCAGTCCATGAGACTGAATGGCCAGCAGTCCTGGTCTGGTGCTGGAGTCCTGGAGGATTCCTGGAGAGCTGCAGGTTCTGATAGGGGTGAAGGAACGCCAGCGCATAGGACAGATGACCTTGCCATCAGGGTGAAGGCAAGCAGGCAAAGGCAAAGCTTTTAGTGTGTCCTGTGTGCGCCACCAGAAGGTATGGCACAGATTAGGTCTTCTGCTTCAAGTCTGATTAAGGAAAGCCCTCGCAGGACTACAGAGAAGCTTGGCTTTTAGTTGATTCCAGATGTACTCAAGCTGACAACCAAGACCAGCCATTACACCGACCCACTGCGCTGCGGCGCGGCAGTCATATCTAGTCAGACACTGATGCTCGAATGTCCCTTCGGGTGCCCATGGTGAGCAGCTCTGCCACTGTCTCCTTTAGGAGGTGCTGGGTATTGGGTGTCACAGTCAGCTTTTATAGACGCTACAGTGGCGTTTGGGTTCAGCGGTGCTGCCTCTTGTCCCCAGATTTCACACGTACCATCCCCTTTAAAGGTTGCAGCTGCTAGGAGGTGGCGGTGGCACATGCCTTTAATCTGAGCACTTGGGAGGCAAGGATGGTGAGTCTCTGAGTTCCAGGCCTGTCTGGTCTACAGAGCAAGTTGCAGAATAGCCAGAGTTACACAGAGAAACTCTGTTTCAAAAAACCAAAAAAAAAAAAAAAAAAAAAAAAAAAAGGGAAAAAGGACAAAAAAAGTTGGAGCTGTCAGGGCTAGAGAGATGGCTCAGGTGCTAAGAGCTCTCCCTCCTAACATGTAACATTCTGGCCTCTGTTTGAGCACCTACATGCATGTGGTTCGCATGCATACACTCAGGTGGACATATATACACACAAAATAAATCTAAAGGTTGGTGAAGCTAGGCATAGTGGCACACACCTTTAATCGTAGCACTTGGAAGGTAGAGGCAAACAGGTCTTTGTGAGTTTGAGTCCAGCCTCGTCTACATGGTGAGATCCTGTCTTTAATACAGACATACTGACATATATGCATACAGACTATACATACATACTCACTCCAGTTGGAGGCTTAGAGGCACCTGGAGGTCTTAACCGAACACCTTACCCTTACTCTCTACATTTCTAGTGAATATATCCTTCACACTTGGGTTTGTTGTTGTTTCTTAAGAACATCTTTTCCCCTTAATTATGTTTATATACTTTGTCTACATGAGTGTACATGTGCTCTCATGTGCAGGCTGTAGGATTTGTAGGAGTTGTTTCTCTCCTTCCATCATCTGAATTTCAGAATTGAACTCAAATTGTCAAGGTGAGCCATCTCACTGGCCCCCTTTAATTAAGTTTTTAAAATTTATTATCAATTAATTAATGTATATGTATGGGTGTACCTAGTGTCCACAGAGGCCAAAAGATGTCAGATCCCCTGGGACTGGAGATGCAGACAATTGTGAGCCTCCATGTGGGGCCAGGAACTGAACCTGTGTGTTGCTAACCTACTGAGCTATCTTTATTTTTTTATAATTTATTTATTATTATTTTCTATGCGCTGGTGTTTTGCCTCCGTGTATGTCTGTGTGAGGGTGTCAGATCCTAGAGTTACACTTGTGAGCTGTCATGCGGATGCTGGGAACTGAACCCAGGTACATTGGAGGAACAGCCAGTGCTTTTAACCTCTGAGCTATGCCTGCAGCCTTCCTCCTGAGCCACTTCGACGGCACCGCGTCATTCTGTAGCCCGGGTGCTGAGTTTCTTCAGCTGGCTTTGGTGACAGAAGTTCTGAATTTTACTCTGGTCCAGTTTATTGACTTTTCCCCTTTGGTGCTTTTCAGGTTCTATTTAAGAAAAGTAGAAATGTCTGTCTACCGCGGTTCTAAAGATCTATTCTGGTGGCTTTTATCTTCACCCCACTTGGGATCAGCTTAAGTGAGGCAGGACTCATGTGGCTGCCCAGTTGATCCACACTGTCCCCTGCTGTGTCCTCTCAGGGACGCTCTGTTCACTGGTGTGCTGGTCCCCGGTCCCTCTGTACCAGTTCTGCCTGCCTTTGTGTTCTCCCTCTGCCTGGACGTGGGATGCATGCCACTCTGTGCACTTCAAGATGCTCCTTCCTGTCAGTGGTCCTTTGTGCTTGGCCAACTCCTAGAATGGCCTTTTGGATCCTTCCAGAATAATTGCTGGCATTTGCATTGGGGTTTCAGCAAGACTACATCAAAGAGGGGACACCATCCTTCAACTCACAGTGTTTTCTTTCTACTTTTAAAGATGTACTTTATTTTAAATTATGTGCATGCAGGAGGGTTTGTGTGTGTTTGAGTACAAGTGTCAGCACAGGCCAGAGGCATGGAGTTCCAGGCTGCTGGGAGCTATCTGATGTGGGTGCTGGGGATTGAACTCAGGCTCTGAGAGACAGTGTCTGCCCATAGCTGCTGAGCTGCCTCTCTCGCCCCTCAGTGCTTTCTGACTCCTGCGGCGTCCCTCTTGTCCACACCCTCTTAGACTTTTCACCAGGCCTCACAGCCTCATCTTCAGGTATGAGTGACCTTGTCACCGTGATGGCAGTGTGTGCCAGAGGCTGCTCACCTTAGGGCATCCAAGAAGCAGAGAGAGCAAGCGAGACAGAGGGGCCCCACCTCCCAGTGTTTCTACCGTCCCTCTAATGCCGCAGTGCCTGTCAGTGGGCCATGTCATCCCTGCTAAAGACAAGACGAACCCTTTGTGAGCCTGTTCTCCTTCGGTGATTGGCTCCACCAATCGGAGAACTTTTGGGGAATACTTCAAATCCAAACCATAACACTTTGTAGACATTTGGGGGGGGCAGTTAGTAACTCATTGAATGCACATTAGAGAGTTTTGGCCCTTTGCCTTTGGGTGAATCTACTCTGTAGATCAGGCTGGCCTTGAACTCAGAGGTCTACCTGACAAGTACTGGAATTAAAGGCATTTACCACCATGCCCAGCTAGCTTCCCCTCCGTCCCTCCTTCCCTCCCTCCCTCCCTCCTTCCCTCCCTCTCCTTCTCCCCCCCCCCCCCCCCCGTTTCTTTATGAGGCACGGTTCCACCATGTAACCTTGGCTATCCTGGAACTCACTATGTAGACCAGGCTGCCTCAGCCTCCCTGATTGCTGGGATTAAAGGCTGCTCCAACCACACCAGGTCATTATTTATCAATGTGGGAGGTGGGGTGTATGTGTGCGTGCGTGCATGCATACATGCATGTGTGTGTATGTGTGCTTGTGAGTGTGTGTACTGTGTTCGATTGTGTGTATGCAGGCCAAAGGTTGACTTCCGGCATCTTC